TTAAGCTGGTTTATGATTCTTGAAAGTGAAGTCCAAAAAACCCATAGAATCACAGAATATCTCAAGCTGGAAGGGACCGATGACGATCATCAAGTCCAACTCCCAGTGGAGGCAATTTGAATCCTTTCCACAACCAGAAAGAAACAGCTACCTTAGGAAAGACTCCTGGAGTAATTTGGGGAATTATTTTTGAACCTCCTACATTTCAGAGGACGACAGCATTTAGAAAAGACAGGTACAGTCATCTTCTATCAACCTGAAGGTTTCTTCTTGACTTTATATTGGCTGAAGGATACTGTCTTCTCTCTAGATCACAAGAAATCCACCAGCAAATTCTCAGTATAAGCTTGGTTCTTGTGGCATTGTGGATCTTTTTTCTGAAGTTTGTTAGTGAACTCTTCTCGTTACTCTGATGTTTATAAGTAAGGGGCCCCGCCTAAACCAATGACCTCAAGCTCAACATGAAAAGTCTTTTGCTCTGAAGGGACAGCGGTTTCCAATACTGGATAGCACTCTGCGATCTTTTAATTTTTGAACTGATTTAGCGAGATAATGTGGTAGGAGAAAAAAAGAAACAGAAAGAAGTCCCTAAAATTTAACCTGCTGCAGAAGCCAACCAACCAAAGAGTATCCATAGGCCGGAGAATCAAGCAGATATGCTACGTACACCAGAAAGGACTTTGGTAGACTAAGGATAAGAAATGGTGCAACGCAATAAGGGAAAGTGTTCACAACACGTGCCAATGTTGCATTGTCCTGTGAAAAGGGATTTCTGTCTATGGAGTTGTACAGTTAGTAGATAGAAAGGCAGTGAATCAAGCTAAAAAGAAAGCAGGCATATAATAGTTTGTCTAGAGTTTTGGAAATTTACTGCCAGTTCATCCAAGAACACAAAAGTCGACCCTTTCTCTGCAACTATCTCACTAAGTTGACCTTCACCACAAACTTAGCCTCAGCCACCTTTGTTATCACAGTGTAATCACAATCTTTTTCAAATCATCATTTTGGTACTGCAGATATTCAGGTCTGATTTTTAATCACTGACATATTAAGCATCAGCAAAATAGTTTGCTTAGCTGTTCCGCTGGCAATTTTTAAAAAGGAATGAAAACATGTACCTTTTGATTACCTTGTTAAAGTGAGTCATGATGGCATTATAGCAGTGCTCAGTATTTCTGCTGTAATTAAGAATCTGTCATATTTTTCATTAAAACACATTCTTTAAAATGAGACTTTTAACTTGGTCATTTCAATCAGTACCTGCCTGAAGTGTAGCATGCAACATGCCCACTAGATAAAGAAAATGACATCTGAAATTTGCTTTTGCAAAATGTAAGTATTAAAGTGCCCATAACATGCACAATAATTTACATATTTTATATGCACATTCTCTGTGTTTTAACTAAAAACAGCTTTCTCTTTTTAAAATTAATTTTTGCAGGTTTTCACCACTGCTCCAAACTGTAAACCATGGTATGTAAACATCAGAGCAAAAAGGATTGTTTTCAAATAGAAATAAATGGCTATTTACAAGGCACACAAGTAAAACAACTCTTTTTGTTCTGAATCAAACTTTCTACATTCTGTAAATTAAGTTATTAACATCCTGCAGATGTGAAGCAGAATTTGATGTTTTCTAACATTTAAGATTTAGAGGTTTCTTATTTAAAAAAAAAAAAAGAATCTAAAAGGGCGTGGGGATTTAACAGGAGCTGATTGAGAAAAAAAGCTTGTGCAGAAGACAACAGAGTCAATAGGAAAGGAACTGGGGTAAATGCATAATCAGTGTATGAACATGGCATCTAAAATTCTCTAGCATCTACTGGTTTGATATGAGACTTAAAGCAGGTAATCTAAGACTGAAATTACTCTAAATATTCTCAGTGCATGTGTTTGAAGTAGTAACAATACTTTGCAGAGAATGTCTTTTACATACAAATTTTTATTTATTTATTTATTTTGTTATTATTTTCATCAATACTGGACCCAGTTTTGCTAGGGCTATTTCCATGATAATGTATTAGTTTGTCTAAGAGGTTTTTATACAAACTTGAGGGCACTGTATTGCTGCAATGAAATATGTCAGGGTGTCGTATGAAGTAGCTCTACCACTCAGGTAGTCAGGGAGGGCATAAAGTCATTGAGAATGACCTGGTCCCAAATATGACTAGAATCACTGAAATAATATTGGTTTCATGGAAGAAGCTGTGCAAAAAAGTAGATATTCGTGATGTACAACACCTAATTCTTTAAAGAAATCATAGGAAGTAAACAATTTTTACTAGTATCTTTTTTTTAGTTGATAAACTAATTAACTATCTAGGTTCAGTAACACACAGATGGGGCTACATCAAGCATCCACAAACCAGAAAATTTATCTTAGTAAAAAAGGTAGAATAGGACTGTCTCAGTACTGTCGGCTCCTAACAATCCATACCTATATTATCTCCCATTTTCTTCATTGCTTTTCAACACAGCTTTTCTTCACCTTTACAAATGACATTTTTGAAACTATAAAATGCTCTGTGCTGCTCAAACTTTCTTGCTTCAATAGATTCTCATTGCTGTACAAGTAAATCTACATCCTTTGTTACTAATATACACAAACCTATTGGTATGTGACTTTGACTCCAGGCTGAGAACAGGCTATAAATTTAGAAATCAATATCTAACTCTATCAATATTCATTTTACTTTTTCAATACAAAATACAAAGGTGAAAGAGCAGTAAATAAGCTGGAGTACTGAAATAAATTGGGTGTTCTTGTCACAATTAATAAATGTTTAACCAATAACACCGCTTGCTACAGAAGTCTATGGCTTTGTAAGGTGCCTGAAAGTAGCAGGTGCTACCTTGTGAGACTCAAAACCAGAGAACATATTTCAATACTTCATTAG